AAAGTGTCGTTTTTAGTCTAGTTTTCTACTTTCTTTATAATTTGGATTTTGCTTTCTTATAAAAATGTAGATCAGCGGAAAGAGTGTGCGAAACTATAAACTGATCTTGTTTTCTTCCTTGTTGTATATCTTTTATTATTTTTTGTTATATTGTTTCTTCTTTTTTGGTATTCTTTATTGTATAATCTTTGTTTTTTTTTTGTCTTCTCTATTCTTTAATATTAGTTTATATCAATCATCATCTTTTTTGCTAATTGTTTGTATTGCTTCATTTTTACTATATTCATAATCAAAGTTTATCTTTATTTACAAGTTACTTCTTTTGAAGACTTCTTTAATGATTTTAACATGTTTGTTGTTTTTTAGTAATCATTTGATAAATTTTATATTCTTTTTTTTGTTGTTCTTAGCACATTATATGCTGATATTTTAGCAAGTATGCTGTTATTTTGGTTGTAGTTTCTTCTGCTTGGTGTCTATATAGTTTCCTTAAGTGGTGTTTTGACTATGTCAATTTTTTTTTCAATTTAAATAAATGTCTAAGCATTGTGAAAGACATTTATAAATGAATGAAAAAGGTAAATAAATTAAAGATCATATGACTTTGGCCTAAATTTTATTGGTTGCAGTCCAAATCATATGGAGTACTATATAATTATTATACTAAAATTATATGTTTAACTATAAATATTCTTCTCCTTTTTCTAGTTACATTAGGCTATGTTTCTATATCTATGCTAGTCTAATATATGTACTTGTTTATATTATATGTTATTGTATATTTAGTTATATGCTATTAATAAAATATGCAAATGTATTGTTATTATTGTTACTTGTAAATCAATATGTTGATTTTTTTTTTGTATATAGTGAATAGAAGAAGGTATGATCTTTGATTTACTTACCTTTTTCATCTATTTATAAATACCTTTCACAATGCTCAGACATTTACTTAAATGAACTTCAGTCAGTAAGTAAATTGCAGATCATGTGACTTATTGTAAAGTAAAATTCTCATAAGTGAAAGATAATATATTTTTTGCAATCTGGTTCTTCTGTAATATAAAGGTAATTTTTCTTATATAAAAATGTTGATAAATGATATGGCTTGACCAATTGCTTATTGCAAGTATTAATTGCAAATTAGCATCTGATTTTTGTACATAGAAGGCTGCAAGTGATATAGCATCCTTTGCTGTTAATTTAGATGCTAATTCTTTTAGAATTTTCTTTATTCAGCATGCAATAGAATCAATAAAAGCTGGCCTATGTTCTGTTATTAATGTCAAAAATAATGATTTTTTCTGGTCTTCAGTAATGCATAGGTTCTTTGTACAATCTTATAGTATAATAACCATATCCAAAGATGAGATTGTTGGTATCTTATCATAACTGCCAATGTAAATTGTTTTTGTACATGGTTTACTTTCTTCATATATGACAGAAATTTTGTGCTCTTTTGGTTTTATTATTGTTGCTATTGCACTTTGTAAGGTTCGATTAAAGGATATGTCATCAATTTAGACCAGATCAGATGGTTAGCTTGCAGTTGTAATCACTAGTAAGAATGCAGTTTTCTGTAATAAACTAAGTAATAACATTTCAGAATTGTTATTCAAAGCTCTTATTTTGTCAAAGAATGGCATTAGATTTATGACTTCTTTAATGTTTGAAATAGGCAGATTTAATTTATATATTTTATACATTGTTTTACTTATAAGAGGATGTGATTCAATTGTGTACTATTAATCTATTCATGTACCTTACTTATTGCTGATTTATACTCAGCAATTGTGTTATATGTTTTCTGACTTTTGAGCTGTTCATTTAGAAATTCTGCTATATAGTTGATAGAGCAAGTAGTAAGATTGAGATCCTATACAGTACATCAATTAATCTATTTTTTAATATTTGATGATATCATTCTTGAAGATGCTTTGTTATGTATTACAATGTGGAGGCCAATAGCTTCTGATGAAAAGCTCTAGAATAAAAGTCTTTGCCTAATATGTGTGCTACACAGATCTTTTATCTCATTATCCTGTATAACTGTGGACAATTGTGTTTCATATTTATAGCATTCTGAGGTAATACAATTAAAAGATCTATTAACAATGATAGTAATAGAGAAAACTATGATGCTGCTGGCCACAGTAGGAAGACTAAAACTGTTGTTACCTTCTTTCTTACTACTTTCTTCAATATTTTGGAAATTAAGATCCAAGGTGGATTTATTCAACATTTCCAACCCTTCTATTGCATTGTCAATATATTTATAGCTATAGTTTAAAAATCCTTCTTCTATGAGATAAAGGCTGGAGTTTGCTTGTTTCATTAACTTGCAAATAGATCAAGATTCATCTAATCCTATATCTTCTGAATTGTATTGAATATTCTTTTGTTGATTGACCAATTATGTCTGTCTGTTAATATTCAAAATGCTAGATTTGCTAACATGTTTAATCGACTCAGAATGTGTTCTGCTATTAATTTCAGCCCTTGATTTAGGCATATTTCCCAAATGCTTTCTGCTAATTGACTCATTGTCATGGAGGTGATGCCACTCTGTTTGTTAAGATAAGCTACTGTTGTTAAACTGTTGCTCTTTATTAATACTGTTTAATTCACTAGATGCTTCTAAGTAAGTATAGCTCTTTTTACTACTATTAATTCGAGATGGTTTATATGTTTTGTTCGCTATTTTTTGTTTCAAATTTTATAAGCTGTCTGACCATCTAATACAGCACTCCTAATCTGTTTTGGAAGCATTTATATAAATAGTTGTTGTTAGTACTGATGAAATAATCTCTCTTTTATTTTATTTCTTAAGATTAATTATCTAGGTTTTTAGCTGTAGTCTGGCCTCTTGTGACAGGCTCATTGATGTATTCCAACCCTTGTGTCTTATAGTTGCATTCTTTTCTTAAAGGAGTGTTCTTGAGAACAACCTTGCAGGGTACACTGCATTGGTTGTATATTCAATTTGCCCAATAATGCTACTATTTTTCAAACCTGTACCTTTTTTATTCTGAGTATATATTGGCATTTTCTTATAATGTCTTTTACTTTTTTTTATAAAATAGCAAGAGTCATACTTGTTAAATTTATTTCAAACTCAAGAAACTCGATCTTTTTTGTTGGATTTAATATTGATTTTTCTCTGTTTACTATAAATCCTAGGTGTTCTAATAGTCCACAAATCTTCCTAATATGTTTGTATAACTTCTGTTTTGATTATGTTATTATCAGTAGATTGTCTATATAGACTATCACTCTTATTTCCTGTGTCTGAATTAAGGCTATTACTGGTCTTAGTATCTTTATGAAGATTCTTGAACTTGAGGTTAACCCAAATAGTAAAATCCTGAATGTATAGCATATACTAAAGAGGTTGAATGCACAAAACTTTTTGAACCTTACTGCCAAAGGAATATAATAGAAGGCATTTTTTATATCTATCTTTGTAAAGAACTCTTCCTTTTTTAACAATGTTTTTATTAATTCTATGTTCTCTATCTTGAAGTGTTAGTGATATATAAAGTTGTTTAGATTTCTCAGATCTATAATAGAATATGACTCTCCTGATAGTTTTGAGATTAGAAACAATTTGAAGTAAAGCAAAAAGTGCTTGCAGATAGGATTTCTATTATCTTTTGATAAAATAAGCCATCTATTTCTTTTATTAATGTTTTCTTTATAAAAGTTACATATTTGCTTAATGATACTGGTTGAATTTTTAGTAATAGTGATTTTATAAATATAGGATAATATCCTTTCTTTATAACTTGTGTAATCTACAATTTTCTAGCTATTTTTAACCATCTTGTTTGGAAGGATCTTAATCTCACACCTACTATTATTACTAATTAGTTGGATAAAATTGTTGCTAGGAATTACTCTGGCAAAAATTTTAATTATAGAATCACATGCTTGAAAAAGGACATCAGTATATGTTTCTCTTACTTTGTGTATTTCAATAGTATGTATTATTCTTGTATTCTTTACTATTACTAAGTTTTTGAAAATATTGTTTCTGCCACATGGCATCATTGAAAAATTTGTTCTTTTCATTCTCCTTAGTAATGATTATTTTCAATTTTTCTCTAAACAAAAGTTTTATCTCTGATCTTGGTTAGTAATTTGAGTAAATTGCTTTGATAGCAATATCTTGTCTGTGTTTGCCTATATAAGATAATGCATCTAATAACAATGTTCTTGTAGATAATAATGTCTTTTCTATAAGGCTTCATACTTCATTAGCCTTTTTTTTGTCTGATAGTGGCTTTGTTTTATAAGTCATTTTAATCGCATTATCAAGTGGTCTAAGTACAGCTGATATTTAATATGAAATTTTATAAAGTATTTTGTTAAAGTCCTTATAGTCCTTTTGCATATGTTTAGACATTTCTTTGTCCATAGGTGATAGTGTAAACTTAATGAGCTTATTATAAGAAAATGCTTGCATAAGTTTTTGTCTTGCTTCTGTTTGTAATATATTGTTTTTATAGATTTTTGTAGGTAGTATCTGCATTTTAGATATAGATACAAATATTGCAACACTTTGTTTGTCTGTAAGATAGAGTTTATTGTCTGACAACTGAACATTATCCTGTTTATTAGCAATATCCTTATTGTGTTTATTAGCATTGTTCTTATTATTAATAGTATTAATAGCATTATTGTTAATATTACTATTATTATTATATGCTGGAACTTTGTTTTAGTTGTCTGCTTCTAAGTTATTTATAAAAACTTAGTAGGGTACTTCTAAGTTGTGGACTGCAATTCAAAGAAAAATGGCCTAATATAACTAGAGAAAGGGAAAGGATATTTATAGTTAGACATATAATTTTAATATAATAATTGTATAGTGCTCTACATGATTTGAACTGCAACCAATAAAATTTAGACCTAAGTTATATAATCTGTGATTTACTTACCAACTGAAGTTCATTTCTTAATTTCTTTCTTGACTTGTTATATTTTTTTTTATTAAATCTTAGTTTATATCTTTCTTCAAACTTGTTATGATCAGTTCTTGTTCTTCTGGTTGGTTTTTACTTTTTTTTTTTGAATAGAAGACTGTACTTCTGTTTGTTTGTTAATGTCTTTTCTTTGTATTACTTTATATAGGTCTTTTTGTATTCCTATAGTTACAGTTTTTTGCTATTGCATTTTTTTTTCTTTTATTACTACTGTCTCTTGCATTTGCTTTACTATATCTAGTTTTTTTTTAGTTATTCTTTTTTAGCTATTTTTATTATTTCTCTTGTTATTCATAAAAGAGTCATCTTATTTGGGTCTTGCTTAGTAAGCATTGTTACAATTTTATTCTCTCTATTTGGCATTGTATATGTTTTGTTAGCTTTATTAAAGAAAATCTTGTTATAAATACTGCTCATTGGCTAGTATGCTCTTTTTATACAAATTGCTTTAATATTTTTTCTATACTCTTCAAGCAAACTTTTATATATTTCTATTTCTATAACTGTACTTTTTTAGAAAAATTTTTTTGTTTGTTTTGTTTTCTTGTTTGTTACTTTATTTATTCTTAATTTGATCACTTATACATATTTGTTACTACTTGATCTGCTATATGACTTTTATATATTATAAACAGATTTATATTCAGAGTCAAATAGCAATCTCTACAGTTATCATTTTATTGCTAAAATTTTTTCAAAAACTTTGCTTTTCTTTTGTAACTGCTCTAATAGCACTGTGCTATTTCAAGTTCTTAAACTTGTTTAATATATTTTTTGGTGTTGCTTCTTTTTGCTTAATGTTATTTGGAAAGTTTTCTATTAATAATTGTATAAAAATTAATTTTTTTTTTGATGATTTTGTATTTAAATAGTTATTGAAGAGAGTCTATATTATAACTGAGATCTATTTTTTTTTTTTTTTTTTTTTTTTTTTAAACTTAAGCAGTCATGCTAGTACTTTATTAAGATTCTTGAAATTACTT